TGTATCTACAGTGCAGATTCTACTTGCCCGAGCGAATAAAGTTTTGACAATAGAACGTTTATATTGTATGGGGCAGAAACTAGTGAAGTGGAGGTACTGTCCCGACCAGGTGGGTTTGCGATGTACTCTGCGTCTGATCGATCCGTCTGGACGGCGATGGAGCAGGATGTCGAGGAAAGCTAGTTCATTATTGTTTTCTTCCTCATAAGTGACTTTCAGATTCGGGTGAATTGCATTAAATAAATCATTGACTTGATTAATATCTGTAGACTGTGGTAATATGACAAGAATATCATCGACATATCGTTCGTAAAGTGTAATACCATCAATGAATTGACTCACTTGCCTTTCTATCATTCCCATGAATATGTTTGCTAAAACAGGTCCGAGAGGGCTTCCCATAGCCACTCCATCGATTTGCATATATGCTTTACCTTGGAAATAGAATTTTATATTCTTTGTGCACAGCAAAATTAGATCTCGAAGATAGGTAGTAGGAGTGGGTATTCTTATGTTGTGTGAAGTTATGAAATCACAAATAAATTCCACAGTTTCTTCGAGAGGTACATTTGTGAACAAAGATCCTGCTTGTAAACAACTGTCCACACATACTGTCATTGATTCTTTTGAACTTCTCCCAACCTTGGAACACTTGAATATTTCTAATAGTCGGATGTGTTCTTTCGATGTAAACTCTTTGTTCACAAATGTACCTCTCGAAGAAACTGTGGAATTTATTTGTGATTTCATAACTTCACACAACATAAGAATACCCACTCCTACTACCTATCTTCGAGATCTAATTTTGCTGTGCACAAAGAATATAAAATTCTATTTCCAAGGTAAAGCATATATGCAAATCGATGGAGTGGCTATGGGAAGCCCTCTCGGACCTGTTTTAGCAAACATATTCATGGGAATGATAGAAAGGCAAGTGAGTCAATTCATTGATGGTATTACACTTTACGAACGATATGTCGATGATATTCTTGTCATATTACCACAGTCTACAGATATTAATCAAGTCAATGATTTATTTAATGCAATTCACCCGAATCTGAAAGTCACTTATGAGGAAGAAAACAATAATGAACTAGCTTTCCTCGACATCCTGCTCCATCGCCGTCCAGACGGATCGATCAGACGCAGAGTACATCGCAAACCCACCTGGTCGGGACAGTAACTCCACTTCACTAGTTTCTGCCCCATACAATATAAACGTTCTATTGTCAAAACTTTATTCGCTCGGGCAAGTAGAATCTGCACTGTAGATACATTGGACGACGAATTTAAGTTTATTACTGAGACACTTAAATTAAACGGATATCCTGAAACGTTTATTAGTCATCAGAGCACAAATACGACGAAACTGATAGCAACGGATGTGCCCAAGAAACCAGTATACCTACAGTTACCTTTCAAGGGTGATCACTGCATGAAAATTACAACCAAACAGACTGCAGCTGCAATAAAAAAGACCTTCAATGCAGCTAATCTGAGGCTTATCACAACAACTCAGTCGATCTCAGTTAACCCTATCAAGTCTCCAAGACCGATTCAGTCCAAATCCCACTGTATTTACCAATTCACATGTAACTGCGGAGAAAGTTACTTAGGTAGGACAGATCGCCGATTGGAGGACAGGATAGGGGAACATATTCCAAGATGGTTAATCAAATCCATAATTCATCCACCTAGCCCGTCATCTCAAGATCGATCAAGAAACCCAGCCTCGTCCATTGCAAAACATCTAATGATGAGTGGTCATCAAATTGACCCAAAATCAGCCTTTAGAGTTGTGACATGTCATCAAAACCCACACACACTCAAACTACTCGAAGCTATCTTGATTGGTCGGAAAAGTCCAACTTTATGTGTTCAAAAACAACTGTACGTTGACCTTTGTTTACCATGGTTCTAGTAAGTGAATGTCATGCTAAATAAGAAATGTTGACCTTATCTTCAAAACTGTATTTACACGAATAACATGTTGCTTGTATGTGACTGACGAGAAATCACGAAATGGTACTATCTCACAAAATTTGTCTTCTCATTTCTCTGTTCAAATTTATCAAAGGGAACCACTGTTTTGAACAAAGAAATAGCCAATCAATCAAATACAGTTAGTTAGGATCTAACATGCATACATCTAGCTAAGAATTCATATTTTCCTCATCCAAAGGGTATTAAACACCTACTAAATATGTGTATATTCATACAATGGTACAATAAACTACCGAATAATTTATTCCATACATAGTTCAATTAAAAAGATTAGATTAATATGTAGTCAGTAATAGAGTATTGTAACTAACCGACGAAGGACCTGAAATTAGGACTATTCACCAGCTCATCATCAAACTATTATCAAAAGCCAATAAATCTCTATAACAAAACCAGCATATAAAGGACTTGGTGGATGCGTAATTATGAATAGTCTTGAAACAAAAAACTGCTGCTTTCACATGTCCATTAATTTAGAATGATAGATAATTCCAATTTAAACATTAAAAAACACTAAGTTCAGCGAAGCGATCTTTTTTCAACCAATTTATTATCAAGCTGCACAATCGTATATAGTGCTTTAACAAAAAAATCATATATATGTATGCAGTGATAATAAATTATGGCCAAGGTAATAATAACGATAAGATGTACTTCTTTTGTACGCATAGTTTTTGTTTGAGCTCACGGACGGTAAGAGCTTCGGCTAGTTTTAGGAGTTTGGTACGAAGAAATCTAGGTACATTTGGACAAATCGTACAAACTTAAAATCAAATTGTGCATCAGTAGAATGATTACAGTCGATTAGATGTTCAAGTGTGGAACTTCCAACTGCTTTCCTCTCACCCTTATAGAACCACACTGGGACATGTTCCCGTATCAGAGTTGAAAGAGAGTACTGGCTACGGTCAATGTACCTTCGCTCACAAGAGCAGGTGAACTAGTAGATGCACATGTAATCTAGGATTATAATCTTTCTATTACATCATCGTGGTTATTCCTTATTCATATTTCCTCACGGAACTAGTACTTTAACAAAAAGTTATATACATGTTTAAGCAGGTCTACAGAAAGATAAAAATTCATATCGGAAATCAGAAACAATGTAAAGTGAATAAATTTTGATAAATTAATCAATTGCATATAATTATCCATTATAATTGATGAATTCGAACATATAACAAGTAAATTCTTTTGCAACAAGTTAAAGATAAAACAACGTTCAATGAGTAAAATCTACTTGAACTGAATCTGATATAAAATTTTATAACAAACCAATGAACCCCCTAGTTATAAAACACAAAATTCAATATTTAATGGCTGTTAAAATGAAGCGGTTTATGTGTTTAACCTCGATTCAGATACCTAAGCAGTTAAAACTATGTCTAACTTAGATTATTAAAATAGCTGAATAATATCTTTCATCCCTAATAAATAGAACCAAATCAGTAATTACATGAATACCCACGTAGTCATCTTTTGCCATACATGGTATGCGTCAACTAGAGATACAGTTTAGTCATCTAGACTGAAGTAAATAGGATTAAATTTGAGCCCGAAACCCAAAATCTTTGAGTGTTCCACCTAGACACTACTCAACAATTTACATGATATTATTTGTAAATAATCAGCTAGCTTATTTCAATTTTAGCGCACATTGGCTCACTCAGATTACCTAAATTAATACTTTAATAAGCTAAGTAGTACCTATATTGAAAATTATTCACATCCCGATCCGCATAAACTCAACCAAATGAATGGTTTTCCAATAGTCGGAGATAATAGAAGACAATTTACCTCGTCGACAAAGAAGAATCCGAAAGCTCATGATCAATAAGAACGTAGTCTCATTCTAGCAACAATAAAAATTGGAGCCTTCAACCAAAGAATGTTACCAAGTAATAAAACTATTTATTTTAGCAGTATTTAATTGCGTATTGCTTTAAAAGTATACGGTCCATTATAAAATTTCAGATTCAATGAGCTTAAGAAAAGTTATCCGTCTTCACTACACAAGCAATCTATTTGAACAAGCTAAATCTGATATGTGATACGATGCAACAGCTTGGCGTTGAAAGCACAGCTTTCAATCATTAGGTTATAAATTTGATTAACACTACACCACAAGCCACCATATAATAAGTATGGTCGAAAGATGAAAATATATGAACCAGTAATTTGTTGGTGAGTTTGATCTGTGCTATACTTGGAAGTAATAGCGAACTGGTATTTTTGAGACTAGTGTTTGCTCGTTAAAAATGATAGAGTTTGAACTTCCTAACATTACAGTACTTTAATAATTTCGAGATATTTATGGTGCTTGGACTATTTCATGTACTTGCAATGGGAACTCTGTAGCATTTTCCAAACTAAAAACACATTCGGCATTACAGTCATACAATCTGTTCAGTATTCTCGTATACCAAATCAGTTTGCATACTTATGACAACTTTTTGCCGGCTGAATTTACTTTTGCTATGGTGTGTAAACGATCAATAACGTCGTATTGTAATATCATTTCATTCAGAATTCCACACTCTACATAACATTTATTGTCTCACGTTTTATCAATTTTGTTCAAAATGCTCACTTTGGAGTAACCTGAAAATCATGTTCTTTCAAAAAGTGTAAACTTAAATTCACTATTACCTAGCAATTTGCATTAGTTTGTTCACGCCTGAAAACTGGTGTTTACTTTATACAAATCCCCAGAATACATCAATGTTAACTACCAAATAAAACATCCATTTTTAGGAAAATAAAGACGATTGATAAGTGTTGTGTATAAGATGGAGACAGATAATTTAAATAAAAAAAATCATCGTAGCAATAAAAATAGAATATCATCCTTACATTATTATTTGACGATAAATTTTATTATTATTGATGTAACAACAGAAACGGAAACAGTTACTACATCTTTCCTATCCTATTGACCATAAATATAAATATTACTACATAGGAAAGGATAGAAATGACATCATGCTTTTGGAATACAGGGTATGGATGAATAAGGTATAAATAATCAGTTACAGTTAAGGTAAGTATTTTCCATCAGGTAATAATATCGACTTAGTATAGCGATTTTAACTCAAATAAATTGATTTTACTATATAATTTGAGGCTAAAATCAATGTGAGATGATTTTCAATACTAATCAACCAATTATCCCGAAGTGGACCACATTTAAAAGTGAGACTATAGTTGTTGTGAATCCAGTACTCATAAATAACTTAGATGAACAGCAGCAAACAAAAAATGTTAAACTTTAGAAAAAATAGTAAGAAAACATCAATATTACAAAACATTATATTTGACTGAAATTTCGAAAACAAACTATACAAAACTTTTAAAACCAATTATTTACGATTCATAACATCAGCACTCAATGATCGACGGCATGAAAAGTTCTTATGTGATCTTCGATTAAGCTGTACATTATCAGTATCGTGTAATAGTGTAGAACGTAAAGATAATTGTTGTTGACAATCAACATATCTTTTTACTAACTTGTGATACTCGCCATCTTTATTTTCATATGTAGCAAGCAATGCTTCTAATTCCTTCACCTCTGTTTGTAAAACACAACGTGAATTAGCAAGTTCGATGCTAAATAATAAAAATATGATAAAATGTATTTCCAAAGCCAGGAATTGTCAGCATTCAATAAATTTAATTCATAAACCATCAACAATATATTAGAATTGGTAGACACGAAGACATACTTTCGGTAGTTCTAAATTTCCATGCTTAGATCTGAGAAATAATCGTAATTTATTTTTAAACATGTTAGGTTGCATGACACTAAACTAATCACAACAGAGCAGTCCCACTTATTCACCATTTCCTTCTATACTTTGAGCTTCGTATCAGCTTACACTTTTCGTCAATGGATAAAATTTTCTTTTCAACTGCATTTATTATATTTAGCTCTCTATTGAGGCAAATTTTGTCGCCTCCACTATACTTTAAGTTACTAATTTCCACTTTTATTGAGCTGCTGTGAGATGTGACGATCTGGAACGATATATGTTTATGCTACGTCCTACATAGTCTACTTCTAATATGCACATTATTTGCGGAAATTTATCGGGAGTTACATTATTACCATTATTAATGAATGCGTCTTGGAAACCAAGTTTAGAAATCCGTGCATAAATTTACCACACACTCTTATTGAAGGTTAATGATACTAAGTTGTTGCCCGAAACTGAAGTGAATGAAGCGAAGTTACAAGCTCAAACTGATTGGTTGGAAGTCAAATTTAAACTACCACTTTATACATTGACTTATTCAAAATCGTAGTCAACTAGTAAGTTAAAATTAGAGTAACACGAATAATTTGCCTAGCAGAACGACAAAAGAAAAATAATTTACTAATATACGGTACAATAACTTTATAGAAAACAAAATAAAAGCTAGACATAGAATGAGGAAGAATAGTGTGACGTAAAAATATAAAAGGAAACAATATGAGAAAGATAAAAAGGTTAAATGAAGAAACAAATAAGAATTGATCGAGAAACAATCATTCTTAGTAGAACAAATAGAATCTTGAAACGAAAAATGTGCTTAAGCAAATAACTAAGCCAACAACTACCCGATTCGACCTAATAGTTAGAAATTTTCGAATACTTTGTACATAACAGTTGTGGTTGAAACGAAAGGGATCGCGAGTCGATGAAAATGTAGTGGTTTATAAGCAAAAGCCATTGGGTAGTGACTAGCAATATAAAGCTAAGTAACCAAAACGATAGTCACATGTTTATTATAGAGTAAGAACAGTTATTGTAAAGGTGAATCATCTGATCAGTAGATGGTATATCTCTTGAATACAATTAAAAAAAAGGAACGTTATGTAGGTTCATAAATTATTAACATAAACGTTAATAATGATCATGATGATTTCGAAGTTGTGCTAATGTTATATTGGGATGCACTGAACTACATGAGCTCCTTGCAAGAAAGAGATCAGATATACAAAAGATGAGATATAGGTCCTAAAATGAACTTCTAGTAACACTGTTGACCGAGTGCATTGGTCCTTCGAAGGCCAAGGTCAGCCAGGTTCATGTATATTTCTCCCGAATAATCTTGTTAGTTACCATGGCTTTATTACATACAGACAATACTTCTTGCAAATTACACTTTCCATATATTAATGTTGCATACAATCCCCAATAGATGAAACAGATTGGTAATACACACAGACCCAATAGTCCTGTTTTCAGGTCAAATCAATAAATATATAGGCCGCACGAATAAACCCCTTAAAATACAACTTGAACAGAAGTCAAAATTATATATACATACTGAATGCGTGATTTCAATCTCTTAATAGTTATTACACCTAGAAAGCCTGGTTTATCAGATATAGACTGATTGTTATTTCTTTAAAATAAGAATGATGTTATCACACTGCAGTAAATACTTGTCTATCGATCTATCCATTCATCAAGTACTAGATTTTCGTCTCTGTTGGTTTGTATAAGACAATTTGTCGTGAGGCTTTTTACAGAGGTTTGACTAATCTGAAGACTAATTTGTTTACCGATTTATATTAACATCTGGTAGAGTTGCAGAGTGACAAATACTGGCGTAATACATAAGTAATACTGTGGTGTGTGTCACTGATGTCGACAGATGTAAGTAGTATTTATGACCAATCAAAAGTGAAATGCCTGGGAGCAGAAGGTTAAAAAGATCGAAGGAAAGAGAACGAGAACAGAGAATGATTGGTGTGGAAACGAAGGGACAATCAAGTCTGAGACAGTTGATTGACATTTTGCAAATGAAATGTTTATTTTATGGTTCTCAGATTCTGTAATTTTGTACTTGAATACATTTGGTCGTCCCTACTAGTGTTCTCATTCACTACAATACCAATAAAATTAATAAGGATGATAGTGCTTGGAAAAAAGAAGACATACTGAATCTCCTTTAGGATATTTAAGGTTTCTGAAGGTTGTGAAGCAGAATATTCAATGGATTTCTGCAAACTTTTGACGCGCAAAAGTAAAGCTTTGGCTTGTTCAGTTAAAACTGCTAATGCCTGACGACTCATTCGTGGCCAAACCAAGTGTCGATATTCGCGAAATAAACGGGAAGATGTACTGCATATCCTCGATACGATCTAAAAATATCCAATTTTAGACAGAAATTTATCTCAGCTAAAAATACAACAATTAGTTGGATGTAAACAAAAGCCATGTTTTCTGATATTTAGAAACAATTGATGACCAACAAATAATTTCACAGTAGTCTACAAAATAATTAAATTACACCTACAGCAACTGCAGTTATGTAATATGTAGGTGAAAGTAGATTGGCAGTAAAGTGACATATAGAGATATCAAAATAATTCATATGATAACTCAGAGACAGAAATTATTTCTGTCAGTAGAATGTGATTACCGTGAGAGGTACGTATAGATGAATGACACTTTCCGGGTCAATAAGAATAAGCCGAAAAGGAAACAGTACTATTGTGGGTGATTTTATCGGCCTAGCAAATGGAAGCGATTATTGTAATGGGCTCAGTATCGATAGTAATTCAGTACTATTAGAAAAAGTTAGAAGTAGTTGCAGATTTATGACCTAATACTAAAGTAAATGACTGGAGAGTTGAAAATGAGCCTGCTGGCATATTTCAATTCTTGACACGAGATCCCGAAGAACATAGGATTCGAAACCAAACCCAGTATGACTGGTGTTGAAGATACTACTGTTTTATTTGAACCTATAAAAGTCAGGTTTTTGTGTACCCGTTTTCACATTTTTCCCATTTTAACATTCTTTACATATCGCTATAATATCATTGTAATACCAATCCATTCCCTCTTGTGTCAAATATTTTGGCATCTATATGATCTGAATCACAGTTTAATGATAATAACAATGGTTACAATTGCAATCGAAACAATAATAAAGGTAGTATTAAGATAACAGAATATAAAGGATTCGGAAATGACTTATTTTCTAGAGAATGGTGGTGTAACAACAAAATGGAAATTAGGGGAGCAAATTAGGAAGAGTGGTACTTAGTTTAGTTTTGGATAAGGTACTGAATCTTGATATGAGGATTAGTTTGCAAGATTCTTGGTTTCACATTACTCAATTTTTGGTTGGTTTAATGGGTATGCTGCACTCAGCGCAAAAAGTATTTGATAAAAGTCTCGAAATTACAAGAAAACTGATGATTTTAATTACATACTTCTGTGAATGATGCCTGTAACCTTCTAAGTTCCGTAGAAAGTTCATTTTTCCTCTTTTGAAGCTTCTCAACTCCAACTGAATGATTGCTTTGAGATTGATCTAAAAGAAACATATTACAAAAAAAATGGTAGGTAACCTTGATTGTCGTCACCAAATAATACCAGTCTTTCATCTAGCTTCTTTTCCATCCGTGTATGCAATATCGAAAGGATATCACTGATAATTTTATTTCCACAATCTTCTTTACTGTAAAAACATGTTTCCTCAATTTCCTTGGAAACATGACATTCAGTCCATATCCTAGCCACTGTACAATAAATATCACTTTCATGGCAGGTCAATAGGTTAAGTTCATACTCATATGCCATATCAAGGATAACCTCTCTAATTAATTCATACTCAACAAGTTTGGAATAGCATCCCAACTGACTTGAAGATATTGCCTGATGACGTTTATGAACATTTAGAAGATTCTATAAGTACCTTATGAGTTCCATGTTCATCTGGATCACACCCTTTATATTTAAATATATGCGACTCCGCAAAGAGTGAACTCAGAAACATTGGGAGGTTAGATAGAATATTGAAGTATGAAAATAAGAACTTGAAGAATCCTAAATAGATAATGGAACTAAAAATTATTCTCTCGTAAAACGACATGGACGACAAGTGTATATTGAAAGTAGTACCTAACGATTTTCAATTACATTTCCAATATAACACTAAAAGACAATTTTCATGAGACTGTATTCCGAAAAACGATGATAATAGACTGAAAGGGATGTAGAAAATAATCGAGTGAGTTCGGCAAAGCCAATTGGAATGGTGCTGAGTTACGGTTGCAACTATACAGTGTTTTCATCACCAAGTGAAATCAGCTGATACAAAAGGGTTAGAGTTAATTAAAAGGAGTTAAACTAGAGTTGTGTATTGGGATTACGAACTAGGTTCAAAATGTGTATTTAAAACAGGAGGCCGATCGCCTGTGTTAGTCCTTTTCCACCAAGCTTCTGTGAGTGTCTAGTCTTCTTGTGAATGCGTCAAGTGAAAGTGAGGACACCACTTCTTCAGGTGACAAGACCCACGAGTGAATGACTCGGTTTGAAAACAAGCGTAAGACGGTTATTCTGTTTTTTCAGCTATAATTCAATGTCGCTCTGCAACATTTTTGTGTACAAACTCAGAAAACCTGAGGTTGAGATTTAGAGTCGGGAATTAGATTGAGAAAATACGGCCTAGCAACAGAAAAATCCTTGTCTATCTGTTGAGTCACATCACGTACTTTGACACAAAACTTAAATCAGGAGCAGGTCTCTCTTGTAATCTAGCCCAAGCACTGCATTATATTCGCTGCTTTGTTGCACGGTAGATAATTTTATCAATTTCAAGCACCTTAAGGACCAAATATTGCCAGTCTTCACTTAGCTAATTGAAACACACCGAGAGCGCAGGCATTTATAATTTTGTTGTTGTGAATGTGGCCGAAATGCAGGCTGAAAAGACACATTTAATACTCGAAGTTCAGGTTACTAGACCCTACAGTATCACCAATTGCAAAGTAGGCGTGATTCATTTATAAATGTTAGTGAACAAGTTCTGCAAAATCAGAAGCGTTGCCTCCGACATCCACGTCAAAGCATATTGGAAGTGCGTTAGCGGCTAAGCAAGTCCCATTTGTGATTAAATTAAAGTTAATGCATGAGATCCGAAAAATCACATGCTGCTCCGCAGAACATATCAGGAATATCAGACTTGAGTGTGATGATTATGCAGCTAGTGTCTAGGTCTGACGAGCGTAATCACCGACGAAAACTTGATACTGGACTATTAAGTTTGCGGTCCTCTTTGTCATCTGAAGAACAGCATGCCTTCTGCAAGAAGACAAGGGAAAATTTTCCAAGTCTACTAAATCCATTGGATTATTATTCAACATTCAAAATTGCCATAGAGACGTGATTAGTGGATGATAATTCTTACTATGCACTTACTTCTTCATTAAATGTTCTACATCAAGACCAAGTATATGTAGAGAGAGAGTGTGTTTTATTTCACACGTAAACGGATTTCGTATGCACTTAACAATTAGGACACATTCTTACTGAACAAGGCATCACCTATAGCTTTTTTAGCAGATCTTCATAAATGGCAGTGGAACTTTGAACTTACAACGAAAATGTATGGCTTGCATCTGTTTGTAATTAATCTCCTTGTAAAATATATTAATTCTTGTCAATGTCTTCAACCGTATGCCGTATTTTAATACAGTCGGCTGAGTCTAAGGGTTTATTTTGTAATGAAACTTAAGGCAAAAATAAGAGACATTTGGGGTTAGACGACAATCACACGATTTAGCGTAAGTTTAGGAAATATTTCAAACACAATGAGAAAAAAAGGGAGAATTTCGCACTATTTTCTCATGACAGAAAGGGCTTTTTGGCACATTTCCTCCTATTTTCTTACGGGATTTCTCTTTTATTTCCCTCTTCCTTGCCTTTATTTCCTATTTTCCGGTTGCTGAAGTGCGCCTTTAATTTCGTGTGAAAATCCACAATGAGATATTTTCATTTTAATTGGTTCACTCAAGGGCGTCAGTATCGTATACTTTGACCTAGAAACCTTCTATCCTTAATGAAAAGCTTACCAAATATAACTTTCGATGATTCTAACACTGAATGCCCTCTAACAGTATCAAACTGAGTAGAGCAAAATATCAAGCAACGAGCCAATGAAGGTCGTTTCGAACTCTAAACCTTCAAATGGTTCAAAATGGTTCAAATGGTTGAGGACGGAATAGAAGAAGCTTTCGCTTAACGGGCTTCCGTGTCTAATAGCAGTGGATCACCAATACCTCCAGGCAAAAACTTAGGTATATTAACGATAATAGAGGAAAAAAGAATTCGGTAAATCATAATAATATGTTATCCTTATTCCTTAAGAATAAGTCAAGTTTCCCCATAAAGGACTAAAGGGAAGTCGCTTAGACTAACTCAGTCAGCAATAAATTCCAGCATTTGATAATTCTTCTGCTTCGACTGGTAGGTCCTGGGTTCGAATCTCGCTCGCGAGAGCGGGTTCGTGGATGCGCACTGCTGAGGAGTCCCATAATAGGACGAAACGGCCGTCCAGTGCTTCCAGGTTTTCGATGGTGGTCTAGCTCCAATTGACTCATGATTTCAACTGTGAAAATACTAAATTCTCCACAAAACCCCCTCTGATCTTCATTCTGCTATGTTGAGTCTCCAGTCTCTGGGTGCTGCTCCTGAGGTTAGCATTGTGACTAAGCTTAAATAGATCTTTAAAGGGATGACCAGAAGTGTTAAGGATATTGTAAGTCATAAGCAGATCACCTCTAAGACTCCTAAGACTCCCGTACTGTAAATGGGGATGAATAAAACTGTTGACGATTGTGTGGAAAGTTCTACCGTCAAACTGGCCAAAAATGCGCTTCAATGTTACCAGTGCAAAGTTTGCTTGAAAGGCGTTTTTGTCACAGTTAGTGTACGATTTTAAGTCGTATGGTACCAACACTGCTAAATCTCTTTCGACTTGAGAAACTTCTGAGGAGGAGTTTCCAAAGTTGTAACTATTGTCTGCAACATGTCTCAGATGGACTACTTTGCACTTTGAAGTGTTGAAGGTAAATCCTTTGTTGTTTGCCCAACTTTGGAGTCGATTCAGATCCTCCTAGTATATTCTTTTGGCTACATATCTCTCTTCAAAGTTTCACATCATCAGCAAAAAGCGATAAGTCTGATGAAACTTGTTGAGTAAGATCGTTAGTGTAAATTATGAAGAGAAGAGGTGCTGGTATTGAGCCCTGGAGAACCCCGCCAGGACATTCAATAGCCTGAGAGAGAGTGAAGTTAACCCTAACCTTAAAATGTCGGTTTTCTAGATATGAAGCGAGTCAGTTAATCAGAGGGGGTTTGATATCCAATCGTCTTAGCTTATTGATAAGTCATATGTGGTTGACCCTATCAAAAGCTTTTGAGAAATCAAGGATGGTTGTCCATCTATCCAGCGCAGTCAGCAGGTTTGTCATACAAGAATGACCTTTTCTGAAACCATGCTGTTGGGTGAGAAGAACTATAAGGATGATAAGTATTCATGTATACCGTCGTATATATTAAAGACTCCATAATTTTAGAAGGTATGGGGAGAAGGGTCACTGGTCGGTAGCTTGAGGGTTCACTGCGTCGACCTCCTTTGAAAATTGGTGTGAAGTGAGCCAGCTTCCAAATTTCCAGCAGTTTGCCTCGACCTAGCGAATGTGAAAACATCACGCTAAGTGGTGTTGACCGGGTTGAAGCTGCTTCCCTCAGTATAGCAGAATGAACGATATCCGGACCGGGAGAAGTGACTTTTCTTATGTGCTGCAGTTTATGGAGCACCAGATCAGCGCTCAGGTCCCCTTCGGAAATTCCTGTGCAGATGCAGGTGAAGCTTTCATCATTATATTTGACGCGGGTCGGCTGAAATGTCTGGGAATATTATTCAGCCAAAGGATTAGCGGCATCACCGTCGTTATTGGTCGGACCATTAGGACCTAGCAGTTGTGAAACTTAAGCTTTGCCTTGTCAAAGAGAAGCTGCTTAACGGAATAAGTTTTATGGGTTGGAGACAAATTTGTCGATAAGCTTTGTCTGGTACTGCAGCCCGTCTTCTGTTATTGTCTTTGTGCATATGCTCCTTATATGTTTGTAATGCCTGTATGTGCCAATGTTATCCGTTCGCTTGTATTCAGCACAACAGTGCCTTTTGCGGCTTAGCAAACGAACAGTGTGGTTCTTGATAATTGCAGGTTGTGTGTGGTTTTTGGGACCATATGAGGGACTGAATGCTTAGTAGCACATAAGAGCGTGTGCGGAAATAAATCCCAATGAGCATCTACTTCAAGCTGAGGGTGAACATCCCAATCCACCTGTCGTAAATAGTCATGTAAAGTTAACACATTCAACCGTTTGAAATTCCAGCGTGTGTTGTTGGTAGGATTTCAAAATTTCTAGGATGAGTCTATCGACTGTTTACTCTGCTTTTTGATGGTAAGAGAGTGCTATTGATTATCGACAGATATAATTCTTGTTATAGTTCTCCTAGAAACAGAAGGACGAAACAAATTCAGATTGTTTAAATAGTTGTGAATGGGATAAAAGCTCTCACTTTAAGGGTTTCCGGGTCTATTGGAAGTGGTTCAACGACCTCTCGAGGGAGGAACTTAGGTATATCTAGCAAGGAGATGAGTAATACAAGTAAACCAGAGTGTAATATTTCCTAAGCACTAAAGAATTTCAAGTTCTCCTTTCTAGGTCCAGTAAAACATTGCGGGTTGTAAAGCAGCGCACTACTCAACTTCGTGCACTGATCTACGTGTTTGTCCTGGACCAATAATCGTTCAATCGAGATGAGCAAACACAACGAACGGATGTCTAATGCCTCTCAGATGTTGACCCAAAATCCAGTGTGCATCTGAGGCATTCCTTCCAACCAAACCTCATAGCCAATCGGACTCCAACCTCAGAAAATTTATATTTTTTAAGATGTTTTACTGTCTAAATTATTGTTCATTTTGAGGCTCTGGATCACTTTTTTGTAACCCTGTGATAGTACAGAATTTACTAATCTCCGGTTCGCTTTCAAACATATATAGGTTGCATTGTTTCCACGGTCGTCATGTTTACCGACCATTCTTTACCTCCAAATCCCAGATGATAAGTAATTTCTTTGCTTACCGGGGGAGCGTATGTCCCGCTATCTGGAAGGGAATAAGTTTTCAGACTTCCTGTAGGATATAGTGACCAGTATAAGACTCAAATGGGCTTCACATGAGTTCCAATCTCGGGTTAAATCAACTGTATGATTCCTGACACCATTGGTATGGTATATAGGATGATTTTCAACCTTACAGACCTGAACTTCACATTTCAACATCAGCTTAATGCTACTGCCACGTGACCGTTTCATAATCATTTAGAAGGAAGCCGCGTATCCATACCTTCCGTCACATTTCCGTCACATCGAATTTCAATAACTTGGCACTATCTGTTATCCTGTAAACAGTACCACATGGTGCACGGCTTAGGAATTTTGTTAAGTCACTTAACTTGTGAATAACTAATATAACGGAAAGAATACGCGGAAAATCCCTCCAAAATGTTTCATTGGACAGTGTTGGTATTTCTTTATTCCTTTTGCCTGTCTTGTATTTTAAATTTCATTCAAGTCTCTAGTCACCATATTTTATGTCCTTTAATCTTCTTTGTCTTCACTTTTATCACTTGACTTTGTTAAAAAAAATTATCACTCAGATTTACCGTTACATGTTTTCGGATCATTGAAAATAAGGCCGCGTTTGACTCCAGGTTATGGCGTGGTTCAGCTGATGGTTGTTGACCTTTGACTGCCTGCTGGAAACGGTCAGTTGAATCCGTACAGACGGATATTCGATCGCACCTTGTTGGGTATACCGTTACTAATTCTCAGGTACCAAACACCTAATGACTAACCATTCCTTTTGCTGCTTGGCCCGTTTTCTTGTGTCACAGGCAACTTTGACTATATAGCATAGGCTGTACCGTTTGACGTATTTGTTTATTTTAATGTGTTTCGTAAACTAGATCCCTTTAGTTTATTCACAAAGTTTATGTTTCGACATAATTTCATACTAGTCACTCGTAATCGTTTGGTACACCACACAGAAGAACACAGTTTGGCCTAGTAAAAAAATTTGTTATTTTAGCTCCGCAGGAAGACAGAATACTGGAATTTTGGTGGCTACAACCAGGTTAAGCTGCTCCTTTCCATCGAATTGACCTTCATAACCCCCTTTTTCAAGTTTGAACAACTTTTGCTTTTTCTCCTATGAAGAAAACCATCTCTTTACTGTTTGGTTTTTTACTAGCAATAGTAGTCTTATCGGACTTTTCCGTCTACTTACTCAGTAGGTCCAGTGATAAACACAATACCGCTATTTTCAAGTTATCGTTGAGGTTATTTATATGTTGACCTGCTTGATTGAGAACTCAGTCCTGTCATGTGCCGGATGTGTTGAATAATAATAATATATTTCCGCAGAAGCAGGCACACGCCATTTTACAGGCATGATCTACAAGTTGCAACATATACTGGTTCACAGTATGCATCCCAAGCAGGGTTGTTCAGTAAATATAATCCATAAAAAATAATAGGGGTTCATTCTTTCAGATATACTGTGTATTCTTCAAGATATTTTCCAAAGAGGCATCGCGTCCACGTCACATACCACATCCGATCTCGGCAAAATTTGTATTGAGATTTTGATCGTGCTAAGTATTTATGTAATGCAGCTTTTCAAGTTCATGGTTGTTATAAAGTTCACTTGTGGAGCGCCTGATGCGAACTATGACATTGCGAAAGCGCCTAAGTCGAGTTTGTTCTAGATGTTAGGAGTTCCGCAACTTCGCCCTCAGAGAAAGATTCTGAAGGGAAAAAGAAGAGAAAAAAGAAAGGAGGAGCAGCAAGGCAAGTAGCTCGCGGACAATCAAACGCTCACCTTCTAAACTCATAGTACAGGGATCTCCAACTCTTTTTATCATTCGAATTACAGAGTAAAGAACTAAAAGCTTCTGTGGCCTTTCATTGATAGTAGCACAAAAGATATGAAAACATTTCACTTTTAACGAATAATTCGCATGTTAATAATTAAACTCATTGGTTCATTCAAGCTAGACCACCATTGAAAACCTGAAAGGACTGGACGGCTGTGAATACGTACTGCTGAGGAATCATATG